ATTTATTTATTTGACAGAGAGACACAGCGAGAGCAGGAACACAAGCAGGGGGAGTGGGAGAGGGAGAAGCAGGCTTCCCGCCGAGCAGAGAGCCCGATGCGGGACTCGATCCCAGGACCCTGGGATCATGACCTGAGCCGAAGGCAGACGCTTAACGACTGAGCCACCCAGGCGCCCAAGATAAGTGTACTCTTAATGCGGAAAAACTGAGAGCTTTTCCCCCAAGGTCAGGAACATGGCAAGGATGGCCACTCTCACCACTTTCATTCAGCATAGTACTGGAAATCCTAGCCACAGTAGTCACAACAAAAAGATATAAAAGGCATCCAGATCAGTAAGGAAGAAGTAAAATTTTTAACTATTTGCAGGTGACGTGATACCATATATAGAAAACCTGGAAGTCTCTGCCAAAAACCTGCTTATAACTGATAAACAAATTCAGTAAAATCACAGGATACAAAATCAATGTACAGAAATCTGTTGCATTTCTATACACCAATAATGAAGCAGAAGAAAGAGAAATTAAGAAAACAGTCCTATTTACATTTGCACCAAAAATAATAAGATACCCAGGAATAAACCCAACCAAAAAGGTGCAAGACCTGTACTCTGAAAACTGATGAAAGAAATTGAAGACGACACAAAGAAATGGGAAAAAATTCCATGTTCATGGATTGGAAGAACAAATATTGTTAAAATGTCTATACTTCCCAAAGCAATCTACACATTTATTGTAATTCCTACCAAAATACCAACAGCAGTTTTCACAGAACTAGAACAAACAATCCTAAAATTTGTATGGAACCACAAAAGATGGCAAATAGCCAAGGCAATTTTGGAAAAAACAAAGCAAAGCTGGAGGCATCACAATTCTGGACTTAAAGTTATATTACAAAGCTGTAATGAAACAGTATGGTACTGGCACAAAATAGATACATAGATCAATAGAACAGAATAGAAAATTCAGAAGTGAGCCCACAATTATATAGTCAATCTTCGACAGAGCAGGAAAGAATATCAAATGGGAAAAAGTCTCTTCAACAGATGATGTTGGGAAAACTGGACCACTTTCTTACACCATACACAAAAATAAATTCAAAATGGATGTAAGGGGGGTGTGCCTAGGTGGTGCAGTTGGTTGAGCATTCGACTCGGTTTCAGCTTGGTGGTGATCTTGGGGGCTCTGTGCTCAGCTCGGAGTCTGTTTGGGATTGTCTCTTCCCCTGTCCCTCCCCTCCACGTACTCACTCTCTCTCTCGCACGCTCTAAAATGGGTAAATAAATCTTTAAAAAAATGGATTAAGAACCTAAATGTGGATGTGAAACCAAAAGATCCTAGAAGAGAGCACAGGCAGTAACTTTTCTGACATTAGCCATAGCAACATTTTTCTAGATGTCTCCTGGGGCAAGGGAAGCAAAAGCAAAAATAAATGATTGGGATTAATCAAACTAAAAAGGTTCTGCCCAGTGAAGGAAACGGTCAACAAAACTAAACGATAATCGATGAATTGGGAGAAGATACTTGCAGATGACATATCCATTGAAGGGTAAGTATGCAAAATGTATAAAGAATTTATTCTTAACACCCCAAAAACAATCCAGTTAAAAAATGGGCGAAAGATATGGTGATCAACAGACACATGAAAAGATACTCAACATCACACATCAAGGAAATGCAAATCAAAACTATGAGTGGTGCCTGCGTGGCTCTGTTGGTTGAGTGTCCCACTCTTGATTTTGGCTCAGGTCATGATCTTGGGGTCCTGGGATTGAGCCCTGTGACTGGCTCCCTGATCAGTGGGAAGTTTGCTTTTCTCCTCCCTCTGCCCCTCCCCTGCTTGTGCTTGCACGCATGCACACACTCTCAATCTTTAGAAAGAAAAACTATGATGAGATACCACTTCACACCTGTTAGAATGGCTAAAATAAAAAACACAAGGAACAACAAGTGTTGGTGAGGATGTGGAGAAAAAGGAACCCTTGTGTACTGTTGGTACAAACTGGTGCAACCACTGTGGAAGACAGTATGGAGGTTCCTCAAAAAATTAAAAATGGTGCTTGGGTGACTAAGTTGGTTAAGTGTCCCAGTCTTGATTTTGGCTCAGGTCATGAGATCAAGCCCCTTGTTGGGCTCTGCACTGGGCATGGAGTCTGCTTAAGATTCTCTCTCCTGGGGTGCCTGGGTAGCTCAGTCGTTAAGTAAGTGTCTGCCTTCAGCTCAGGTCATGATCCCAGGGTCCTGGGATCCAGCCCCGCATCCGGCTCCCTGCTCCACAGGAAGCCTGCTTTTCCCTCTCCCACTCCCCCTGCTTGTGTTCCCTCTCTTCGCTTTGTCTCTCTTTGTCAAATAAATAAATAAAATCTTAAAAAAAAAAAAGATTCTTTGTCCCTCTGCTTCTAATCCCCTCACTGGGGGAAAAAAAAAGACCTGTCTTTTGATGCAGTAATTCCACTACTGGTTATTTACCCAAAGAATATGAAAACACTAAAACATTATTTACAGTAGCCAAATTATGGAAGCAGCCCAACTGTTTATTGATAGATGAATGGATAAAGAAGATATATATACACACAGACACACACACACAATGGAATATTGCTCAGTCATAAAAAAGAATGAAATCTTGCCATTTGCAACAACATGGATGGATCTAGAGGGTATAATGGTAAGCAAAATAAGTCAGACAAACACAAATACCATATGATTTCACTCGTATGTGGAATTTGAGAAACAATAAACGAACAAAGAAAAAAGAGACAAACCAAAAAGCAGACTCTTAACTGTAGAGAACAAACTGATGGTTACCAGAAGGTAGGTAGGTGGAGAAATGCGTGAAGTAGGTAAAGGGGATACAGCATACTTAATCTTTTTCTTTAAAGTTTTTAATTCCAGTTAACATACAGTGTTGGTTTCAGGTGTACAATATAGTGATTCAGCAATTCCATGTATCACCCTGTGCTCATCACAAGTGCACTCCTTAATCCCCATCACCTTTGTCACCTGTCCCCCACTATCTCCCCCCAAGAAAGTGATCCAGTTTTATTCTTTTTGCATAGTTTGCAAAACTATCCAGTTTTCCCGACACCATTTGTTGAAGAAATTCTTTTTTCTTTTTTTTATTAAGATTTTATTTATTTGAGATAGTGAGCAAGAGAGAGAGCGAGCACAAGTAGGGGGAGGGGGAGAGGGAGAAGCAGGGAGCCTGACGTGGGGCTCGATCCCAGGACCCCAGAATCATGACCTGAGCTGAAAGCAGACACTTAACTGATTGAGCCACCCAGGCACCCCAGAAATTGTCATTTTTCCATTGGATAGTCTTGCCTCCATTGTTGAAGATTAACTGACCAATATAATCATGGGTTTATTTCTGGGGAGGGTAGAAGCTTTGATGAACTGTTGTGACAGTGGTGGAGAGGGACAGAAGTGGATATAACCAAAGCATACCTGAAAGTTAGTAAACCATTTTTAAATAGGAGTTTAGGGGCATGTGGGTGGCTCAGTTGGTTGGGCATCCAACTGTTGATTTTGGCTCAGGTCATGATCTCATGATCTCAGGGTCACGGGATCAGGCCCTGCTTTGGGCTCTGGGCTCAGTGAGGAGTCTGCCCCCCGCCCCTGCTCATATGCACTCTCTGGAATAAATAAATCTTTAAAAAAATATTTTACCAGATATATTAATTTGCCCAATGGATATAAACAGTTATCTTAATAAGAAATAGTATTTTAAGAAATACATTGGTCCTGGCAGATGTTAGTTTGCTTTTAGACAATTATACTTGATAAGTATTTTTCTTTGTGGTGAGTATGAGTCTTTTGTTCACAGTTTTTTTATTGCATGCATTTTAGATTCTGATTTATGCATTGAAAGGTTGTGTGTATTAACTTTAAAATGAATTTGATTTGTGGGCCGCTCAAAAGTAAGCATGAATAATTTTCATGTACTCTTAAACCAGTTGTATATATATAAATGTGTATAATATTTAGCTCTGGTAATTATAAATTTTCTTCTGTTTTTTAGATATTATGATCAGATTTGTTCCATTGAACCCAAATTCCCATTCTCTGAGAATCAAGTAAGTCATTAATTTTAATTTGTTTTAAAGTTGTATAATAATGGTAAACTTTCCTCCCATACATGGTATCACTTTACTGTTTTTATATTTTTATGAGACCTTTTGATACAAATTAGAAGCTTGTAAGCCCATCTGATAAAAATCAGACTGTCTTTTTGAAAAGCGTCTTGGAATTCTGTTGCTGCCATTGTTAGTCACTTCTGGGTTTATGTAGAGCATTGGGCTGCATTTTTTTTTTCCTGCATTTTATATCCGTATGATCTGTTGACTAACATAATCTCTGATGTCCTTCTCTTTGGCTTTTATAGAATTAAGAAGGAAACTATAATTAAAGTATTAGTCTCACTTTATGTTTTTAAAATTTGACACAAATTATATTTGCATATGAAGTTGCAAGTGCTGATATGATTAGATGTTACACTATAAGAATGTTTGCTTTCGGGGCGCCTGGGTGGCTCAGTCGGTTAAGCGGCTGCCTTCGGCTCAGGTCATGATCTCAGGGTCCTGGGATCGAGCCCCATGTCTGGCTCCCTGCTCGGCGGAGAGCCTGCTTCTCCCTCTGCCTCTGCCTACTTGTGCTCTCTCTCTATCTCTCTGTCAAATAAATAAAATCTTTGAAAAAAAAAGTTTGCTTTCTCTTAAAGGCTAGATATTGGAAATGCTGATGATTTCTTACAGTTTTATTTGAGAGACTTGTTAAACAAGTTTTTAGTTTGAGTGACATTTCTGAGTTTTAAAATATGTGGTTTATGAAAAATACTTTAAACATTCTTGTACTGAAGTTTTACAGGTGATGTAATATGTTGAAATTTGCTTTAAAATACTTGAGGAAAAAAAGTCTATGTTTGGGGGTTGGGGTGGGGGCAGGGAAAGTGGGGGTAGGTGAACCAAGAAGGACAAAAGGCTAAAGCTGGTGATGGCTCTATGGGGTTCATTAAGTTATTCTCTCTAGTTTTGTGTCTATAGAAAATTTCTCTAATCCTCAGTTGCAAAATTTTTGTATGGGATTCCAATACATAATTTAAAAGATGGTTAAGTTTTTTTTAATCTTTATGTGTGGAATATTTTATTTTATTTTTTTAAAAAGATTTTTATTTATTTAACAGAGATAGAGAGCACAAGTAGGCAGAGCGGCAGACAGAGGTAGAGGGAGAAGCAGGCTCTCTGCCGAGCAGGGAGCCCAATGTGGGGCTCGATCCCAGGACCCTGGGATCATGACCTGAGCCGAAGGCAGCCGCTTAACCGACTGAGCCACCCAGGCACCCCTATGTGTGGAGTATTTTAGAAGCAGAGTGAGATGCAGTTTTTTTAATTAAGTGAACTTTTTATATAGTATAGCATACATAAAAAAGTGAATATATCTTGAATCTTTACAAAGTGAATATACGTGTATGAGCACAACCCAAATCAGGAAATAGCATTATCTCATCTCATTCCCCCAAAAGTAACCCTTTTCCTACTTTATCATCATGGACTTGTTTTTGATCTTATCTTCTGGGAAACCTGTAGTACTTTGTTGCCTTTGCCTCTCTTGGCTTATTTGACAATCATTTAAGTGCCTGTTCTGTTCAAGTCATTGTATGTTGTAAAGATGAGTAAGATAGTGTTTTCTGGAGAGGATAATATATGTATAATTACTGAGGCAGAATGACCATTGGAAATATCTTAGTGCCAGTATATCTTAGTGCCAGTATTTTAAGAAAGAAAATTTTATGGTCCAGGAAAAGGGAAAGGAGTTAGTTGGCTAGATAGGATAATGTTTTGACAAGCTTTGGTCCTTTTCCTCATTATGGATTTTTCTTCAAAAGAGACCTAATATTTAATAAGATCCAAGAAGGTAAGATGATTTTCTGTTTTCTCTTTTTCTATTAAGATCTGCTTGACATTTACCTGGAAGGATGCTTTTGATAAAGGTTCACTTTTTGGAGGATCTGTAAAATTGGGTATGTAATTATTTTTATAAAAATGGTAAGAAACTTAGTCTAAACACTTTGTATTAGTTTTGGTTTTTAAAATTGCTCTCCTAACAACTCTTCATGAATAATAAAAATTTTTACATTTTATTTTCTTTTTAACTTCAAATTTTAATGTCATTTCCAAATATTTGTGGAGAGCCTACGCCTTGCCAGGCACTGTCCTAGTTATAAAAATGAATAAGACAGTTGTATTCAGTCTGGCTAGGAAGACAGCTGATCATTCTAAAATATAGTGGGTAGTATATGGGTATATGAAAAAAGTTGTGGGAGCATAGATGAAGAAGACATAAATTCTGCTTGTTGAAAGAAAACAATGTTCACGTTAGGCTCTGAAGGATGAATTTGGTTTTCCCACCTAGAAAATAATGTTACAGGTAGAACATTATAACCAAAGATCAGAAGAATGAAGGTTTTTTTGATCTACCAGCTTGGCAGGTTAACCTTTCTGTGCATTAATTTTCTCATCTTTAAAGTGGGGAATAAATAGTACTGTGAAATACTATTTATCTCATTGGGTTCTTTTGTGGATTAAATGAGTGAATACATGCGAAGTCCTTGGAAGAGTATGCAATAAGTATTAGCTGCAATGAATAATAGTAACATATTTTATTATAAATAATTACATGTAATGTATTATTTATAGAATGTATGCATTATAGAGTATATATTATAATAACATACAGTATAAATTATATGTAATGCGTATTAATACAATTATTGTTAAGTCTCGAAACCATAGGTTGAATGGAGGATTATGGAGGGTGAAGACATTGGAAAGTAGATTATGAAGAGTTGGAAATACACTCTGAATTTGTATTCTTCTCTCTTATATGTTAATAATTCATGTTTATTGAGTATTTATTACACCTAGGCACTGTGGAAGGGGTTTCATACATATTATCTTACTGAATTCCCCAAAAGCCCAATGAAGAAAGGCACTATTATTACCAGTTGAACACACTGGTTTAGAAAGATTAAGTGACTTTCTAAGGTCATAAAGCAAGGATTTAATGAAGTGGGATGTGATCCCTGAAAGCCTAACTCTAGAGATTAAAGGAGACAGACCAGTGAAGAGACTGGTGAGGGTTGATGAGATTAGAGAAGGTGGTATATGTGGGTCAGAGGAGAAGGAGTGGGTGTGAGTGACATTTCAGAGTGGAAACTAACTGGATCTGCTGACTATCTCTCAGAAAAGAGTAGTAGTTGAGGGTTGACTCTCAGATTTATAACTTGGTTTGACTTGTTGGATATTTATTCCTTCCAATAGACAAGTTGAGTTTGACTTTCCTGTGTTATGTCTGGGGAGACATTTTTCTTTGGCATTTGGAAACTGGATTTAAAACTCAAAAGTGGTAGAGACATAGATTTGGGAACAATTATCATTAAATGATGATAAACCTATCTCCTCTGGTAGTCTGTAGATTGGGAAAAGTGTGAAAGCCAGAGGTAGGGAATATAACATTCAAGGGAAACAGGGGAAAAGGTTCCTGGGAATGAGGATGAGACAAAGCTTTCAGATCTCAGAGGAACCAGGGGAAAAAAGAGACATGGGATTGAGTGCCAGGAGGGTTTCAGAGATCACATAGTCCAATGGTTCCTGACTGCACATTAGAATTACCTGGGGAAAATATGAAAGATACAGGTGTAAAGATACAGAATGCCAGATGTGATAGGAATTTTCACGGTGGGCCACTGGAATTAGTATCTTTGAAAATACCTCCAGATGACTCATATTCATTCGGGTTGGAACATCATTGACAGAGTTACTGTGGCAGAGGTCAAGTCATGTAAAGTTGGAGAAGTCACTGGATTCAGCAATGAAAGAAGTTTCATTAGGGGCATGCTGAAGAAGCCAAATTGCATCGGGTTGAGGGGTGGACCAGAAGTGAGGAAATGGAAACAGCAAATATGGGTTGCTCATTTCAGAAAATTTGCAGTAAAGATTTAAGGACAAGGGAGCAGTATGCAGAGAGGGAGACCAGGTCAAGAAAAAGGATTTTTAATGCCATTGATAGGTTGAGAATTAAGGAGCAGATGGCAGAACTAGGAGATATTAAGTGAGCTAGATTAAGTGACAAACCAAGTTCCTGGAAGAAGTGGGAAGCAAAAAACTTGGCATAAATAAAGGAGGAGGTAGTTCATCAAGGCACTTCCAGTAGCAAATATTGGGAATTAAGTGTCCTTCAGTAATGTCTTATTTAAATAAAGCATGGGCTACCTACTCATTAGAATATTGTGTAGTTTTAGGATTCTAAGGATGAGAGTTGTGAACATTTTGTTCACATGTAATGCTATGTTCTGTTTCTCTGCATATAAAAGTTTTGTTTGTACTATATTATAGTCTTTTAAGTGTGCAATAGCATGTCTAAAAAAACACTGTATAGGGCGCCTGAGTGGCTCAGTTGGTTAAGCGACTGCCTTCGGCTCAGGTCATGATCCTGGAGTCCCGGGATCGAGTCCTGCATCGGGCTCCCTGCTCAGCAAAGAGCCTGCTTCTCCCTCTGACCCTCTTCCCTCTCATGTGCGCTCTCTCTCTCTCATTCTCGTTCTCTCAAATAAATAAATAAATCTTTAAAAAAAAAAATAAAAAAACACTGTATATAACTTAATTTAAAACTTTGTTGCTAAAAAATGTTAACCATCGTTTGAGCTTTCAGTGACTTGTAATCACTGATCACAGATCACCCTAGTAAATATAATAATAATCATGATGAAAAAATTTGAAATACTGAGAATTACCAAAATGTGACACAGAGCTACAAAACGAGCAAATGCTGTTGGAAAAATGGCACTGATATACTTTCTTGATGCCACTAACTGAATTTGTAAAAGAAATGCAATTATCTGCAAAGCCCAATAAAGTGAAGCACGATAAAATGAGGTATGCCTGTAAGTTTGCTTTTTGTGATCAGCGTATTTCACTTAGCATGATGTCCTCAAGGTTCATCCATTGTGTAGCACGAGACAGGATTTCCTTCATTTTTACGGCTGAATGATACTTCATTATATGTATATACCACATTTTGTTATCTTTTCATCCATCAGTGGACACTTAGGTTTCTTCTACCTTTTGGCTATGATCATGGGTGTATAAATATCTTTTTGTGACTGCTCTCAGTTCTTTGGGTATATACCCAGAAGTGGAATTTTTGGATCATATGGGAATTTTATTTCTAATTTTTTGAGGAACTGCCATACTGTTTTTAATAGCAGCTGCAATGTTTTACAGTCCCACCAACAGTTCTAGTTTTTCCACGTCTGCCAACAATTGTTATTTTTTGTTGTTGCTGTTCTTGGTGGTAGCTATCCCAGTGGATGTGAAGTGTGTAGTTTCTTGACCAGAGTTGTATTTTAACCACATTATCTGCTAGCCTTCTGAGAGATGTATTGGCATAAGGGAGTGAGACTTGGAGGTGCTTGCATTGTGTTAGGTTTGTAGTAGTGAAGAACTGGCTTGAATGTGGTGAGAAGATATAATTTTGAGAGAGGTGATGAGAAAACGGAAATAATTTATTTGAATTTAAGTGAGAATTGACACGAGTATGACTTTTCATTTGGAACCTGACTAACAGCATTGTGGACATAAAGGGAAGGAAAGAATAATGATCTTTTGAATTTTAGATGATGGGAATATTGCTGTGGAAATAAATGCCTGGCAGGGCAGCATTAGAAATAATGGGCACTATTTTGGGTGAGAAAACAGGTTTGGGAACTTGTTTTTGTGAGAGCCAATCTCTGAAACATTCATTTTCTTTAGAAAAATAAACTGATAAAATATTTCCTTCTTAATTTTTTACAGCTCTTGCAAGCTTAGGATATGAAAAGAGCTGTGTGTTGTTCAATTGTGCAGCCTTAGCTAGCCAGATTGCAGCAGAACAGAACCTGGATAATGATGAAGGACTGAAAATCGCTGCTAAGCATTACCAGGTAACCACATAATGATCAACGCTCAGTTGGATTAAATTGAAAATAATTTGTATTTAGGTTTATAGATGTTTCTTTATACACAGATATTTTCTTGAAAAGTAATGTACTTTTTGGGCGCCTGGGTGGCTCAGATGGTTAAGCATCTGCCTTCGGCTCAGGTCACGATCCCGGGGTCCTGGGATCGAGTCCTGCATCGGGCTCCCTGCTCCTTGGGAGCCTGCTTCTCCCTCTGCTTTTCTCTCTCTCTCTCTCTCTCCCCCTCTGTCTCTCATGAATAAATAAATAAAATCTTAAAAAAATATTAAAAGAAAAAAGAAAAGTAATGTACTTTTTAATGAATTAGTACTTTTGAATTTTGATAAACTTCGTACCTGTAGACCAGCTCTCTTTTTCCTCACCATCGTATACCCAGCACCTAGCACAGTGCCTGGCACATAAAAAAGGCTCAATAAATGTTGGGAGAACAAATGATTGAATGGGGTGAAGTTCTTGGTAAATTGCTTTTAAATAATTGACCTCATTTAAAAATTTTGTACAGTTGACCCTTGAACAGTGTGGGGGTTAGGGGTGTTCACCCCCTGCACAGTCGAAAATATACTGTAACTTTTGACTCCCCTAGAACTTAGCTACTAATAGCCTACTGTTGACCAGGAGCCTTACCCATAAAATAAACAAATAACACGTATTTTGTATGTTACATGTATTTTATATTGGACTCTTACAATAAAGTAAGCTAGAGAAAAGAAATGTTATTAAGAAGTACGTAAGAGAAAATACATTTACAGTACCATATTGTATTTATTGAAAAAAAAATCCTCTTGTAAGTGGATCTGTGTACTTCAAACCTCTGTTGTTCAAGGGTCAAATGTACATTATTTTAATATATTTTTTTTCTTAGAGTGAGATACATCTAAAATTTCACCATTGTCACAAAAATTAAGACCTAAGAAAATTTTAACTCTGAGACTTGGAGAGGTCATATTTAAATGTGGTCAGATATGTAATGTTCTTAATTTGGCTACATTTAGATTTTAGATATTATCATATATTAATATGGCATATTTGTGGCAGTATATTACTTTTATTTTTGTTTTAATTTAAAGAATAAACGATTGCTGCTAAGTGATATATATTTTCATGTTTTATATTATGTTGTAATTTACAAAGTGTGCTCATGTACATTATTTTACTCTCATATAAGCCTTGTAATGGATGTTACATAATGTCATTCTCATTTTATACACAAGGAGACTAAAAGGTCAGAGTGTTAATAACTGGTCCATTGGGGTTTCAGGTGTTCTGATTCCAAATTTTTTTTTTTTTTTTAAAGATTTTTTTATTTACTTGACACACATAGAGAGATAGCGAGAGAGAGAGAGAGGGAGAGAGCACAAGCAGGGGGAGCGACAGGCAGAGGGAGAAGCAGGCTTCCCGCATGAGCAGGAAGCCCGATGTGGGGCTCGATCCCAGGACCCCGGGATCATGACCTGAGCTGAAGGCAGCGGTTCAACCAACTGAGCCACCCAGGCGCCCCCTGATTCCAAATTTTAATGGAATTCCTAATGGTGCTTCCAGTGTCTTCCTTGGCTCTGGAATTTGCTTGTCCTAGAGGTGGAGTCTGATTTTTTTCCTATTGTTTTAAGTTTATGAGTGAGGTGAAGAATGCTCTTCTAAGAAAGTGAGGGGAAAATACATATTAAGCGAACAAGGTGCTCCAAATTGTGGCTTGCCATGCAGTTTTGAATGGGTATGGATGACAAACGTGATGCACATCCCTTTTCTTTTTGAGGCTGTAGAGGGCCAATATTTTAAAATGTGAAAATGAAGTAAATTTAATTATTTACTTTTACATTAACTGTAACTCAGTTAATTGGCATGTGATATCTTAGAGGGCATTCTTAGTTACTGAGAACATTCCATCTTGTGAGTCCCTTCTGTGATTCACAGCAGGTCACCTAGTGTAATGGAAAGGGAGGGGTGATAGGCTGTTTGCCACCTAGAAGTTGTGTGCCCTTGGCTATGTTCTTTAATAGCCTCTGTGGGCCTCCAGTTCCAAGATTTGTGAGAGAGACTGGATCCTTTGCTGTTTTGTCAAACGAGAGAGGGAACACAAGCAGGGGGAGTGGGAGAGGGAGAAGCAGGCTTCCCGTGGAGCTGGGAGCCCAATGGTGGGGGCTCGATCCCAGGTCCCTGGGATCATGACCTGAGCCGAAGGCAGAGGCTCAACGACTGAGCCACCCAGGCGCTCCTGCTGTAGTGTACTTTTAATTTTTATTAAATCTTCTGTTAACTGTATAGCATTTTAGAAAAATACCCTTATTGTCTGTAGGTCAGACGGTTTTAGATCTGTAACAATACAAAAATTTAGTAACTGTTCAACTAAATTAACATTTGAAATGATTTGTGTGTAACAGTAGAAAATTAAGTCTTGGCTGAGTTCTGTAGATTTTAAAGAAGTTCTTTTTTTCCTCCCTCTAGTTTGCTAGTGGTGCCTTTTTACATATTAAAGAGACAGTTTTATCTGCCTTAAATCGAGAGCCTACTGTGGACATATCTCCAGATACTGTTGGGACCCTCAGTCTTATTATGTTGGCACAGGCCCAAGAAGTATTTTTTTTAAAAGCCACAAGAGGTAATTCTAATTTTTCCTCCATTTTGTTGCATGTAAAAAGAAGTGATAAGCTTTTAAAATAGGAAGGTGATTAGAATATAATATATTCAATGTAGAGCTTTCCTCTTTGAACTTGACACATGGGTACTGAAAATTTTCTGCTTTCCTTTTCTGAAATTAAGGTGGTACAAATGAACATTTATGAATGTAGACTGTGTTTGAAGCATTTTATGAAATAGATAGCTATTGTCTTAAAATACTAAACTCTGGAATAGTATTTATGTAGGTTTGTAATGGGTCAAAAATTCATTCATTCAACATATATTTATTGGGTACCTACTGTGTGCCAGTCACTGCTGTAGGCTCTAGGTAGAGGTTGCAGACAAGCAAGATTCTTATTTTCAGGAAGCTTACATTTTTAGCATGGGGAAGATGATAAATTAAGTAGCCAAGGTGATTTTATTTTTTTATTTTTATTTTTTTTATTTTTTTTAATGATTTTATTTGATAGAGAGCACAAGTAGGCAGAGCGACAGGCAGAGGGAGAGGGAGAAGCAGGTTCTCTGCTGAGCAGGGAGCCCGATGTGGGGCTTGATCCCAGGACCCTGGGATCATGACCTGAGTGAGACGAAGGCCACCATTTAACTGACTTGAGCCACCCAGGCGCCCCGCCAAGGTGATTTTAAAGAGAGGTAATTGGTATAAAGAAAATAAGAGAGATTATGTGATAATGCCTGGTGGCCTGGCTCTGGGTAAGGATATAGGGGGAGTCATGCTAATTTTAGATTCATTAGTCAAGAAGAGTTTCTTTGAAGAGATCTCCTCTAAACTAGATGTAATTAATAAGAAGGAGCATCTAGGCAGAGTCCCTGGCCCTGTGAATGAGGAAATAAAAACAATTCTTAGAAGGCATGTAAGTTGGTATGAGAGATTGGGATATGGTCTGAATATGAAAGTGCAGAGAAATTGAAAATAAGAGGGCATTCACCTTGTGGAAGCAAAATGAACTGGAATAGTATTTTTTTTCTTTTAAAATAACAGCTTATAATAAGATAGAATTCATATGTAATAAAATTTACCCTTTTGAAATGTACAGTTCTTTGTTTTTTAGTATATTCAGTTTTGAAACCATCAGCACTATCCCTTTATTTTAGAACATTGTCATCACCCCAAAAACAAACTCCAAACCCCCTCACCATTCCCCTTTTTTCCCAGCCCCTGGCAACCACTAATCTATTTTCTGACTCTGGATTTGCCTATGAATTGGTTAAATTTTATGTGGAAGAATTGATTTCATCAATAAGGATTTTTTTAGACAAATGTACAAACTTGTGATCTCAGTGTTTATACTAAGTTATGATATATCAGATTATTTTATATTTATTTTAATTATAATGGTCATTTAATATTTTATTCCAGATAAAATGAAAGATGCCATCATAGCTAAATTGGCTAATCAGGCTGCAGATTACTTTGGTGATGCTTTTAAACAGTGTCAGTACAAAGATACTCTCCCCAAGGTCAGTTATTGTTTTTGTAAACACTTGGTTATTTTGCATGTGGAAATACTTGGATGTTTTTGTGTATAAGAAGGTGCGTTGAAAATTATGTTTCATAAAAAGACTTGAAATTTTAGGAGAGGCATTTGGAGAATATGTTTATAGAAATAATTTTTTTATTTAAGATGCATGAAAAATTTTTTTATATTTAGGGATGCCTTTGTCTCTACTCTTTACTAAATTTGTTTTCCCAAGCTAAAACTCTTTCTGGAAATTTGTGAACCTCTGTTTCCAGTAATTTTACCACATGAAGGCATTGTGTAGTTCTAATTCATTGGTGATTTGGTACAAGCATGAATACTTGAGCATGTTGATTAGTCACACTTTTAATTATTGTCCTGTTTTCTTAAAGATGAGTCTTAAAGCACAAAAACACATAAAGACAAAAGGAAAAGAAAACAAATTCGTCTAATATTTTGATTAGAATTAAGTTTTGCCAACAGGAATAGAAAATTGGGCTGCTGTTGGACAGCTAAAGAAAACAACCATCTTAAACCACACATCACAGGAAGTATTATTTTAATGTAAACTTTTCCGAAGTGGCATTTGAAAAGACTAGTCAGTGATGATCATTTGTAAATGACAAAGCAGATGATTAGACTAACAAGTAAACTCAGAATGGTTAAAAAAGGGAGTTTACAGGTTGAGTGAAATGTCGTATGTTTCAACTACTCTTTCAGAAATGTTCAGGTAATTAGTTTTATCTGTATAATAGCATATGGTTTTTGTTACATGATCTTTTTGTAGGAGAATTTATTGACTTATAAGTCATCCCGGAATCTTTGTAAATAATGAAATTGCAGACAATTTTGTAGTGAAGTAAAAAAGCATGTAAATATATCAACAGCACAAATTAGTCGGAGAATTAGGAATTTATGTGAAGGAATTCCTGGAGATTTAAAATACACCAAGAGATCAGTAGAAATTTGCCCAGGACTCTTGGGTGTTACTGCTGTTACTCCTGAAAAGAGCCTTGGGATCGTCTCTCACCTTTTTTTCATCTAAAAGACCTCATGTTCAGCTGCACAGTGTACCGTTACATCCTGTTGGGCCATTAGTTCAGTCGTGTCATGGAGAGAAGAATGTCACCTTCAAAGACTTGGAAACTACCTCTGCAGCATTTCTGGTATTCCTTGAAAATCTCCTGTTTAAATACCAAGTTGCTCCAGCCTTACCTTGAGAACTGGCATGAGTACAGTTTGAGATTTAGATGTCTTTTTTGCCTTTTAACTAATAAAGCTCATAAGGTATTTTCATATTCTAGTTATAAAACTGGAATATCTGCAAGTAGTGATCCAGGAAGCTAGGAAATTATTCTCTGGGAGACAGGAAAGCATATCAGGTAGTATTTGAGTTTTTGATTGTCTTATTTTTTTTGTCTAGACTGTGATTGCCTAGTAAATTTCTTGGATTTCATATGTCATGTACTTCCTAAAGATAGCGAGGTTGCAGGCTAGGATTTGACATTTTGGAAGAGCATCTAGTGATATAAGTGCTTCTCTGGTTCATGTGTTTGGATCTTTTAAAACTACTTTTGACAGAATTTTCTTCAAAACAAATTAGGGCAAAAATAACACTTTATCACGTTAAATATTAATTTAGTGCATTTGTCTGTTTGCTATGTGTTTTTGAGTATATGATCTGAATGTTAGTGTTTATACTAAATTTTTATATGGCTAGAAATCATCTTTATTAAAAAGTCTCTTAGGATTTAAATGTAAGGGGGAACTTAATTTACTGTCTTTTGTCTTTTAAACATGATGAAACAGTCAGCTATAGAGCATTTTCATTAGTATATGTGAGTAATGGTGGTTTAGTTAACTCTTAAGGGCTGGGTAAGGACTCATAAGAAAGCTTCTAAAGCCCTGTGCCTGGTATTCCTCTGTGAATGTCTGTTTTCCTTCTCTTTCTAATACATGCTTTCCTTTCTTCTTTGTAAACAAAATGTTGACTTCATGGCTCAATTGAAGACTTAAATTTAAATTGGCTTCACCTAACAGTTCAAAAAAAACCCCCTTAATTTTAATTGGAAAAATTGAATTCATCGAATTCAATTCCTGCAAAATCATGTTGTCTTCTCTGTTTACACCTAATGACTAACCTATCTCTAAACCATTAATGGGGTGATTCTAATTTCCGTCTCCTTTTCCTTTTTCTTCCTGCATCCCATGTTGTCTGTGGTGGTTTGTGTGGTTGGACTCTCCCCTGGTCAGTATTTTTATTTCCAGGAGGTGTTCCCTGTCTTGGCTGCAAAGCACTGTATCATGCAGGCCAATGCTGAGTACCACCAGTCTATCCTGGCAAAACAGCACAAGAAATTTGGAGAAGAGATTGCAAGGTTACAGGTGAGTCTCTTAGAAATATTTAACTTGGCTCTCTGTTTTTTTCCTTAGTGAGATTCCCAAGTTTGCTTATAAAAACCTTTCCCACTCATTGCCCCTATCAAGAGAAAAGTGATTGTTTTTATCTTTAGGGTTTACTTGCTGGGTGCTTTTTGAAATCTTTTTTTTTTTTTTTTTTAAAGATTTTACTTATTCATTTGAGAGAGAGCATGAGTAGGGGAGAGGGGCAGAGGGAGAGGGAGAAGTAGACTGCCCACCAAGCAGGGAGCCTGCCGTGGGGCTTGATCCCAGGATCCAGAGATCATGACTTGAGCTGAAGGTAGACACTTAATGGACTGAGCCACCCAGGTGCCCCACCATTTTTTTTTTTCTTTTTTAGATTTTATTTATTTATTTATTTTAGAGAGGGAGGGAGGGGGAGGGAGAGAATCTCAAGGAGACTCCTCACTGATTGTGGAGCCCGATGCAGGACTTGATCCCATGACCCCAAGATCATGATCTGGGCCGAGACCAAGAGTTGGACACTCAACTGACTGAACCACCCAGGTGCCCCATTCATGTTTGTTTTAATCTAAAATAATCTAAATTACCATGCTTCAGAATGGTTGTGCAGTGCTTAACTTGTGGCCTGACCTTTGAATTGGGACATACAGTTCCACAGCTTGAGAAGGACAGTGGTAATACAGCTGACCCTTGAACAACACAGGTTTAAACTGTATGGGTCTACTTAAACACAGATATTTTATAGTACTGTAAGTGTATTGTCTTTTCTCTGTGATTTTTTTTTTTTTAAGATTTATTTATTTATTTTGGGGGGGCCAGAGGGAGAGAGAGACAGAATCTCCAGCAGACTTCCCGCTGAGCGTGGAACCCAGATGTGGGGCTCCATCTCCATCCCTGAGATCATGACCTTAGCCAAAGTCAAGAGTCAGAGGCTTAACTGACTGAGACACTCAGGGGCCCCTCTGTGATTCTGTTAGTAACGTTTTCTTTTCTCTAGCTTACTTTATTGTAAGAGTACAATATAAAATACATGTGACATACAAAATATGTGTTATTTATTTTATGGGTAAGGCTTCTGGTCAACCGTAGGCTATTAGTAGTTAAGCTGTTGGGGAGTCAAAAGTTATAGCGGATTTTTGACTGTGTTGCAGGGTATTGGTGCCACTGACCCCTGTGTTGTACAGGGTCAACTGTATATATAAATAGATTTTGTATACAGCAGAGTATCTTCTGTGCAGCTGTCCATACTGTCAGCATTGGGGTTGTTAGAAACTTGTTGTGACATCTGGGTCAATTTCACACAGGGGCAAGGGCTGTTTATATGAGATGTTTGTATTTTGAGTATTGGTGAGTCGAGGGTAGGAAGAGGACTGTTAGGGAACTTTAAATATGGACTGGATATTGGAAGATACTCTGCACATATCGTTTGGGAAGTTCAGTTAGTCTTCTCATGGGGCAAGAAACCCAAGTCTTTTTTTTCTTTTCTAAAGATTTTATTTATTTGAGAGAGAGAGAGTGCGCACTAGAGAGAGAGAACAAGCACAAGTGTGGGTCAGAGGGAGAGGGAAAAGCAGCCTCCTTGCTGACCAGGGCTCCATCCCAGGACCCTGAGATCATGGCCTGAGCCAAAGGCAGACGCTTACCTGACAGAGCCACCAGGCGCCCTGAAACTGAAGTCTTAATAAAAAAGAAAATGTATGCTTATTCTTCACACGGACAAAATCAGAGAGAGGTATACTTCCTAATAAAATACAGATATTCAAACATAATCTCATTTGTCCAGAGTTTACTTTGATTGCAGTAACTTATATTTTTACGTAAAAATCCTTCTTGAAAAAGTGGTTTCTGTGGGAAGGATTTTTTTCAAGCTAACATATTTAAAGTATTAGAAGTTTAGTTCCTTTATTTTCTGGGAATTCCAGGACTATTAGTTTCAAGTAAGGTCTTACTTAGTGTCTATAAACCAGTCACATAAGAGTTCCTTTTGAAATTTTAATATTTAAAATCCCCCCTGGAAAAAGGAAACTGTTTCAAACTTGAACAGTGAGAGGTAAAGACTTTTTTCAGTCACAGACACATAAGAGTGACTTCAGTTTTAGCTTTAGTCATAGGTCAAAAGTTAATATGGAATATGAACACTAATTCATATCTCAAAGGACTGTTCCTCTTGCCATGTGTGAGATTTTTTTTTTTTACTTGATTTGAGCTCAGAAATAGGTGAAGAGAACAAATAGAAAAAGATGACCAATGAATCATATTCTCTGAAGTCTATGGCTCAGAGTACCCCATGAACCTGATAGAGGTCATTAAATGGTCACCCCACGAAACTAGCTTTTCAGTCATTGCTGTCAGCAATGGGGAAAAGAAACATTGGTCATGAGCAAACAAGAAACAAAATCAAAATCCACAGAGTCAGGAAAATCAAAACAATAGATAAAATAGCGGTGAAGGTAAGACTGTTGCTTGGGATTTACTTTTGGGGCAAGAGAAATTGTACCTGGGCTCAAAGGGCTCATGAGCTGTCCTTCCTGGACAGTGCCCTTTATTTGGCTCCAGAAGGCTGTATACTTGATTATCTTGGTGGAATCTCTAATGCAGAGAAAGTACAGTTTTCAAAAAGACATAAAAATAGATAGTTACAAAAATGTGACTGTAGAATGAATATGTGTTAGATATACTTAATTCATTAATGAGGGACCTAGTAAAACTGGTTTTGTGAAAGTATTGTTATTAGTTGTGATAGTAATTTGTAGATATTAAGGAGATTGTTCTTACCAGATGTATGCTTACGTATTTATGGATGTACTTAGCTTCAAATGATTCTGCAAAAAAAAAAAAATACATGTAAGTGTATATATGGGAAAGAGTGATAAAAGCAAATATGGCAAATTGATAACTCTTGTTGAACCTAAGTGTGGGTCTATTGTTACTCCTTGTTCTGTTTTTTCAGTTTTTCTGTGGGCTTGAAATTTTTTGAAATAAAAATTGGGAAAATTAGGTACATATAAAGGTGTACACTTCACCCTTTCTCTGTTTCCCATCTGTCCTGTTCCCTCTGTGCTTTTCTCCCACTGCCCTAACGGTAATTTCCATTAGATTCTCATTTAATCGTTTCAGTATTTTTTGTCTTTGAAATACAAGCAAATACATACACATGCATACACAATACGCACAATGCATGTTCTTAACTCTCCCCATTCTTACATATGAGGTACTGTGTGTCTTGCTTTAATCATGTAACAACATATCCTAAAGATCTCCCCATTTTAATATAGCAATAGAGTGCTCGCTTCGGCAGCACGTATAATAATAATATAGCAATAGAGACCCCTTCCTTATTTTTCTTTAGAGCTGAGGTGTACTTCATTGTATAAACAGCAGTTTATTGCTGTCCCCTATTGCTGGATACTTGCATATTTCCAAGATTTACTGCAAGTAATACTGCAGTGAATAATTATGTACACATGGCATTTTGTTATTTCAGCAGGTGTCTTGGCTCTGGCTTCCATAATCATAGACTGAGGGTTAGAACAACAGAAATTTATTTTCTCATAGTTGTGGAGGCTGGAAGTCTGAGACCAGGGTGTCAGTGTGGTTAGGTTCTGGTGAGAGCTCTCTTCTTGGCTTGCAGACTGTTGGCCATCTTCTCTCTGTGTCCTTCCATCAATGAGGGAGGGGGGGAGCACGTTCTCTGGTTCATCCTCCGAAAGGACACTAATCCCATCATGACGGCTTTGCCCGCGTGGCCTCATCTAAACATAATCTTCCAAAAGTCCCATCTCCAAGTACCATTACTTTGAGGGTTAGAGCGTCAACATATGAATTTTGGGGGCAGGGTAAAGAGTTTAGTCCATAGCAACAGGTATACCTTAAATTTCTAGAAATAAAAGGATTGCTGATATAAAAGTATAATACATCCATAATTTATCATATATTGTACTTGGATCTTTGATCCACTTCGAATTTATCCTGGTATGTGAAGTATGAATCCAGTTTTTCTTTTTCCAAATGACTTATCCCCAAACCATTTATTACAGTGACTTTCTTATTCCACTGATTTGAGATTCTGGCTTTATCACACACTAAATGTGTTATATATTTTTGGGTCTATTTCTAAACTTTTTATTCTGTTTCATTGGCTTACCTGTTCATGTTCCAGTTCCATACCATTTTAGTCATGGACTCTTTATAGAGTGTTTTAATGCCTGATAGGTATCATGATCTCTCATTTTAAAATTTTCCTGATTGTTCTTTTTGTTTATGCTTCTATTTGAATTTTATTTAAATATTTATTATGGAAAATTTGAAAAAATATATAAAGTAATGAGTCATTAAATATCCATTGCCCAGCTCCAGTGATTATCAGTATTTTGCTATTTGTGTTTCATTTATTTCCCTTACCCTCTTATTTTTTTGGAATATTTTACATATTTCATCCTTAAGTACTTTACTATGTATCTCTAATAGATAAGTCTTAAAAAAAAAAACAAAAACAAAACCCTAAAGCTACAATGTCATCCCACCCAGCAAAATTAATACTAGTATATATTTTTTTTAAAGATTTTATTTATGTATTTGACAGAGAGAGACACAACGAGAGAGGGAACACAAGCAGGGGGAGTGGGAGAGGGAGAAGCAGGCTTCCCGCTGAGCAGGGAGCCCGATGCGGGGCTCGATCCCAGGACCCTGGAATCATGACCTGAGCCAAAGGCAGACGCTTAACGACTGAGCCACCCGGGCGCCCCACTAGTAATGTAATATTATCCAAACCTAGTATAGTTTTCCCGGATTTTTTCTATACTGTTTTTTCACAGTTGGTCTGTGCAAATCTCATAGAAGGTCCTCACATTGCATTTGGTTGATGTGTCTTACAAATCTTTAATTTGTAATGGCCTCCCTCTCTCTGACTGCCATATTGAATTTCCCTCACTTTCTTGTTTTGTATGTTTCTTAAACGATGTCTGTGATGTCTGTTATCCCTTTTTTGTTACTTGTGTAAATATTTCAGTCTTTTTAAAAATGATTTTGAGTTTTTCTTCATTTTCTTGCCTGAGTTCTGTTCTGTTCCTGTTCCACATTCTCTTGTTATTTGTTATTCACCTACTGTTGTCTCAGCCATCTGGTCCTCTGTTCATATTTTGTGTTCTTTTTTTATTAAAGATTTTTATTTATTCATTTGAGACACACAGAGAGAGAGAGAGAGAGAGAGCAGGGAGAGAGCCAGAGGGAGGAGAAGCAGGCTTTCCGCTGAGCCAGGAGCCTGATGTGGGGCTCCATCCCAGGACCCTGGGATCATGACCTGAGCCGAAGGCAGATGCTTAGCCCCCTGAGCCACCCAGGTGCCCCATATTTTGTGTTCTTTTGATACTATGATTATACCCTTAAGTTTTTTTAGTTTATCTTAGTTTTTTCAGCATGCTGTTTTCATCTGTTTTGTGACAATATTTCTTTGGTGAATTTTCATTACCTTTTGAGAAGTTAGTTATATGCTCATTTTCATCCTTTTCCTCTTGGTTTCTTTGTGTTGAGGCAGATGGGATTCCGTATTGGATACTTGTATTTGAATGAGATTGATTTTAATAGAAGAATAGCAAGAGGCTCGTGAGTGGGGGAATGGCACCTGATAGTGTTCCAAGCCTCTTTGTGTAAGGGCGCCCTCCTTAGCTTAGCCTCTTTGGCTCTCAAAGCCTAAGAAGGCCTAAGGTTGAGGAAGGACTCTTACCTCGGGATCTGTGTTTCGCTGAATTCCTCACAGCCTTTGCTTTGCAGGGTGGTGCATCTGCTTTGAGAGTTTATTTTGTTGGCCTTTTCTGAGTGCTCACCCCCTTTCTTCTTTCTCCCGGCTTTTCACTCCTCGTCTCCTTCCCCCAACCTCTCTGCCTTTGATTAATCTGCCTCTTGCTCTCAGCAGTTCCCTCTTGGGATGAGGCCCCTTGGCACTTTGGGTTTTTCCTGTGACCCCCTGGTGGCTGACATGGGCCATTTGGCTTTACCTTTATCATCTGTTGGCACTTGTTACCTCATACCATTTCATCGTTTTCAGATTTGCTTAAAGTCGGTTCCACTCATTGGGGGTGGGGCCTTAGCAGTCCCTTTTTATTCCAGTGTGTTCATTATATCTTATGGCTCTAGGACTAACTTTGCTATTTGACCACGTATTTACAAATAAAATGTGAAAAGTGATTTAAATTTGTACATTTCTGTCTCTTAGTTTACACTGAAGATGTAGCTTTTGTTTTGCTCTGTTGATTTTGCATCTATGCTACCTCTGTCATTATTTACAATAGTTTAGTTGACTTTTTTTAGGTTTTCCTGGTATACAAATACATCACCTGTAAATGATCATTTTTTTCGTTTTCTAAATTTTATATGTCTGATCATTTTTTTGTCTAGTTGTTTTGACATATTCTACGATTGTTGATACCGTTTTATTTTGACTCTAGGAATGTTTCTTATGTTTTTCTGCTAAGTATGTTAGCTTTGGGGGTTAAAACTTTATCATGTTAAGAAATTGGATATCTATTTTGATTTTACTAAGATTTTCGAAAATATCAATGGTGAATACTGAATATTATCAAATGCTTTTTCAGCATCTGTGGAGATAATCTGATTTTTTAAAATTTCAATTTATTATTTGGAGAATTATATAAGTAGGTATTCTTGAACCATTCTTGTATTTCTATAATTTTGGTGTTTCATACTTGCTTTATCTCCTGTGGCTACTATATATACATGTTCTCTGTATGTCTGAGGATGTTATATATTCTCTAATTGTGGAGTCCAAGGTTCTCAATGTCTGGTAAATCAAACTCATTAATTGTGTTTTTCAAATCTTCTATAATTTTATAATTTTTTTTGTTTACTTGGTCTGTCATGTTGAGACAGGAGTGTTAAAATCTTCCACTCTGATGAGAGGTAGATTTATCAGTTTCTCATTATAATTGTTTATATACATAGAGACTTACTAAATGTAAAATATAAGAAGTTTTATGTCTTTCTGGCAAATTGGCAGATGGTAAGCATTGAGTACTGAATTTATCCCTAATGATGCTTTTGGCTTTATTGCCTATTTTATCTGATGTTACTAATGATGAAACCACCTAAGTAATGCAATTTGAGCCCTAAATTTATGTGAGGCATATGCTCATCTTATGAATTATGAGGGTAGACCTTTTTAAAAAAAATATTCCTATCGATGCTGAGATAACATGCTTCTTTGTTGACTTCCTGTGTTGGCTGGGTAATTTTTTTATGATTCATCCTTTCACTGTTGAAGTAGCTCTTTAAGGTTCCTGCCTCGATGTGAGGTGGTGAGGGGAATGTTTCTCAGTAGATAGATATGTCTCTGTGTTTCAAGACCCCTGTCTCAGGTCTCCATGATAGCTTTAAACTTTTTTTTTTTTTAAAGATTTTATTTATTTATTTGACAGAGAGAGACAGCGAGAGAGAGAACAGAAGCAGGGGGAGTGGGAGAGGGAGAAGCAGGCTTCCACGGAGCAGGGAGTGCGATGTGGGGCTCGATCCCAGGACCCTGGGATCATGACCTGAGCCGAAGGCAGACAGACGCTTAACGACTGAGCCACCCAGGTGCCCTGAGAGCTTTAAATTTATGTGAGGCATATGTTCATCTTATGAATTGTGAGGGTAGACCTTTAAAAAAAAAAAAATATTCCTATCGATGCTGAGATAACATGCTTATTCGTTGTGTGTGTGTGTGTGATTAATTTATTTGAGAGAGAGAGAAATAGTGCATGCACAAGCTGGGAGAGGGGCAAAAGGGGAGGGAGAGGAAGAGAGGGAGAGAAGCAGTTTTCCCTGCTGCTTGTGGAGCCTGATAGTGGGGCTCAGTCCCACCACCGTGAGATTACCACCTGAGCTGAAAACAGGATTCGGATGCTTAACTTACTGGGCCACCCAGGCACCCCACTTTTATTTAAATTTTTATTTTTTTTAAAGATTTATTTATTTGACAGAGAGAAACACAGCAAGAGAGGGAACACAAGCAGGGGGAGAGGGAGAAGCAGGCTTCCCATGGAGGAGGTAGCCCGATGTGGGGCTCGATCCAGGACGCTGGGATCATGACCTGAGCCAAAGGCAGACGCTTAATGACTGAGCCACGCACGCGCCCCCAGGCACTCCACTTTTAATGTGTTTTAATTGCTAGTCCTTTGAGTTACAGAAATATTTGACAGCCAGCCTCCCTCAGTGTCAGTTTATACTTACTGGCCCATGGATTTCTTTAACTTTCTTGGTAATTTACTTATGTGTTTAGAGGGATGCCTACTAGGTTTATTCTTTATTTTTGATATTTTGGTATTTTGTGATGGGATAATTTCTAGGTTATTCTGTTGACCACAATCCTGGAAATGCAAGTCCTCAAAGATTGTTTTGAAAAACCAATGCTTAGGTCCTTGGTTGAGAAAAAGAAAAAAAAATTTTTTTTAACATTTTCTCTTAGCATGCAGCAGAATTGATTAAAACAGTGGCATCTCGCTATGATGAATATGTCAATGTGAAAGATTTTTCTGACAAAATCAGCCGTGCCCTTACTGCAGCAAGGAAGGATAATGACTTCATTTATCATGATCGAGTTCCAGACCTTAAAGATCTAGACCCTATTGGCAAAGCCACACTTGTGAAATCTACCCCAGTCAGTGTACCCATCAGCCAGAAATTCACTGGTATGTCAAGTATTCAGATACGCTTTAATCTTACTCATCTTTTCCCCAGTTTAATCTGTTTTTTTTTTTTGTAGCTAAAATCATATAGCTGCTGTTGTATGCTTTGAATATGATTTGCATTTATGTTAATGAATATGAGAATAAATATGAAGTGTTTTATCTATAGTGAAATTTCAAGATGGAAAGTAAATGGTAATAAAGTATATGCATACAACAGAGTCAGAATTTGAAACTGTGTTTGAGTAATGATAGACTTTAAGCATTTGTCATTTTGTTCACATTTGTTACATTATTTAAGATTCTGCCATTAAAAATGAACATTCATAAATATGACTTTAAACATACAAACTTACGGAGTTATGTTTGTATGAGATAAATGTTGTCCTTGGATATTGTAGATATATTCAATGTATAGTAGTCTCTAGCTGAGATCCCAAGAATAATACTTTAATTTATTGGGAAAGGGTGATTATCTTACTTATTTCTATTTAGCAAACAAAATGTATTTACCATGTGCCAGGGACTCTTTTGAGTACAGGCAGTAACTCAGAATCCATATTCTTACACTGATGAGGTTATTGATGCACAGAGTGCTTATGTAATTTGCCCAATGTTGCAGAGCTAGAAAGTGGTGGAAGGAACTAGAAATCAAACCATGGCACTCTAGGCTTAATCAGTTTAATCAACAAATGAACAGTGTATTTTCTTGTGCCTAAGTCTTCTTTACCAAAGATTTTTTTTTTTTTTAAAGATTTTATTTATTTAATTGACAGAGAGAGAAAGAGAGAGACAGAGAGAGAGGGAACACAAGCAGGGGGAGTGGGAGAAGGAGAAGCAGGCTTCCAGCCGAGCAAGCAGCCCGATACGGGGCTCGATCCCAGGACCCTGGGACCATGACCTGAGCCGAAGGCAGTCGCTTAACCAACTGAGCCACCCAGGCGCCCCTACCAAAGATCTTTTTAATGACAAACACATCTTAAAAAGTTAAGAAAATTAAGTTCAAAGAAAAAGAAAGCTTTCATTGTCATTGTCCTTGAATATAGTGATGTAAAAATTCTCTTCATTATTGTACTTTTAATAGTGATTTGGTTTTGATTTTTAAATATTTGTAGACTTTTTATGTGAATATTGGAAAGGGAATATGAGCATTCACTTTACAGATGGAGTTGTGTCTTAAAATTTTATCAATTTTCATTCCTTATTTTAGATTTGTTTGAGAACATGGTTCCTGTGTCAGTGCAACAGTCATTGGCCGCCTATAATCAGAGGAAAGCTGACTTGGTTAACAGATCAATTGCTCAAATGAGAGAAGCCACCACTTTGGCAAATGGGTAGGTAGAGCTTAACTTTCATTAATGTATCTCTAAAGTTCTAATGTTTTCTGTTTGTTCTATAACTAAACAGTTTATGAACATTTTAGTTTTCTGAGTTGGAGCTGAATGTCAAGAATATGTGAAAGAGCAAATACACACACATATGTACTTATTGTGGATATTATATTTATTAAGCCCTAGCAAATGTATTTGGGATAAATTTGATTACTGAAACAAAGTGAGAATTTTTGACTACTAATTTGCATTTTTGGGGATATTTATTTGAGGGAAATGAGAAGTAGAAATGAACTTGTAAGTTAAGATACATGGTATATTCAGTATTCTGAACCAATTTTTGTTTCTGGTGGATTAAGGCTAAAAAAATAATTCATTGGTTTTTAAAATATCTTAAGTATAATTTTCAATAAAGTGCGACAGAATACACCTATTTTAAGTGTATAGTTCAGTTCTTTCTGATAAATGTTCATACCCATGTAACCACCACCACCGTGATCAAGATAGAGAACATTTCTATCACCCTAAAAAATTCATGCCTCTTTCACTTTAGTCCTTCTTCCCCTGGCCCTTAGCTGCTGTTGTCTGCTCCCTGTCACTCTAGGTTGGTTTTATTTTTTATACAGTTCAATATAAATGTAATTATTATAGCGTGTGTATTACATTATATGTACATTGCTGTATATAGTACCTTGTAGTATTGCTACACTATATATGGTATGCAACACAGTACATACAGCACAGTATATAGTCAAAATGTGTTGGACTTCTTTCACTTAGGATAATGTTTTTGATATTCATCTATGTTGTATCAGTTTGATCCTTTTTATTACTGAGCAGTATTTCATTTTATAGTTAAATAGCAGTTTGTTAATTCACTGTTGGTGGACATTTCAGTTGCTCTGAGCACTGATGCTCAGATCTTTGTGTGGACATGTTTTATTTCTCTTGGGTAAATACCTAGGCTTAGAATTGCTAGGTTGTGTGGTTGGTGTATGCTTAACTTCACGCAGAATAGCCAGATTGTTTTCCAAAGCGGTTATTCCAGTTCATATTCCCACCCATGCTTTTTGGGGACTCTGTACCCTCAGCAGCACTTAGTATTGTCCGTCTTTTCACTTTTATTCATTTTAGTGTGTGTGTAGCAGTATCACATTGTGGCTTAATTTGCATTCCTGTGATTACTACTGGTGTTGAGTAACTCTTCATGTGCTTATTAGCCATTTATATATCCTATGTGAAGTGTCTGTTGAAATTTTTTGCTCATTTTCTTAAATTGAGTTTTTCGTGTTCTTTATGTATTTTAGAGCAAGTCCTTTGTTAGATATATGTTATTGAGATTTTTCTTTCTTTTTTTTAAGATTTTATTTATTTAAAAAAAGATTTTATTTATTTATTGCTCAGCAGGGAGAGAGCAAGCAAGCAAGCAAGAGTGGGGCGGGGGGGGGGTGCAGAGGGAGAGGGAGAAGCAGGCTCCCTGCTGAGCAAGGAGCCTGATGCAAGGCAGACACTTAACTGACTGAGCCACCCAGGTGCCCTGTATTTTGACTCTTAATTACTTAGACTGAGAGAAGTTAAGTTTGAGTTGTGAGCCCAAGGTAGCTAGTATTTTTTAATGTATATTTCTTTTTTTTTTAAGATTTTATTTATTCATTTGACAGAGACACAGCGAGAGAGGGAACACAAGCAGGGGGAGTGGGAGAGGAGAAGCAAGCTTCCTGGTGAGCAGGGAGCCCGATGTGGGGCTCGATCCCAGAACCCCGGGATCATGACCTGAGCCGAAGGCAGACGCTCAATGACTGAGCCAACCAGGCGCCCCACTTTTTTGGTTTTTAATTCTGAACTGTGAACTTAATGTTTTAACAGTTTTGTTTTAATTTTATCAATCACTGATTTTCTGTTTTTTTCTTTTTGTTTGTTTGTTTGGTTTCTTTTTTTTCCCTTTATCTTTGTTCTGTTCTTCCATTGATGAGGGTAATCACTTTTTTGGGGTGCTAATAACTCCATTGCTATTGATTAGGATATATAGGAGGTTAATGTTTTAAAGATGATTTAGACCTCTAGATGACACAGTATCTCATTTTTTCAGGGTGTTAGCTTCCCTTAATCTTCCAGCAGCAATTGAAGATATATCTGGAGATACTGTACCTCAGTCTATATTGACTAAGTCCACGTCTGTGATTGAACAGGGAGGCATCCAGACTGTTGATCAGTTGATCAAAGAGCTACCTGAACTACTACAGAGAAATAGAGAAATCCTAGATGAGGTATGTTTTAAGAGATTTGTTTTTTCAAGTAAAAACTGTTTTACCCCTTGGTGTCCAGCAGAGATTAGGACTGGACGCTTTCTTCTATTGGGTTTTGTAGGGTAATACTCACCATCCTGATGAACTTAATGTGGCCCAGAGCTGCCTTTCAGCTTCAAGAGGAATTCTGATTGAATGAGAATAGGTTCGTACATGTCTTAAGGGTATATAAATGCACATTAATGAAACTCATGTGACCATGATGTAATATTGATATACCATGAGAAATTACTATCATACAAACTGTTCAGAGCCTTCATAACTAATGGTTTCTTTTCTATGAAAGATTAGATTTCTTGGTAAACGTGGAATCAGACTAAGGAAGTTAGGCCATCAAATGTTTTGTAAGCCCACTGCTTCCATCTTCTAGTAGAGAGGGCATTTTATCAATAGGAATGGAACACTAAAGTTTTTTGGCTAAAAACTGTTTGACAGTTATTTTTTATTGTACCTTCACCTCTTTCCCCTCATTAATTCATTTCTTCCTTTAATGATAAATATATTCAAAATGGTTATATTGGCTTTTGCCAGTTTAGGAGTCATGTCTTTTAGGTAACTTCTGTTGTCAGTGCTTTAATCTATGATATTTTAATTTTTCAGTTAATTTTCAGGGGATATTATATTTACATCATTTCCAAATACTTTGGGAGAGGGGTAGAGTACTTAAGTACTCTCTGCAGTCAGAAATCTGAGTATAACTTTTGATTCCCCCAAACATAACTACTCATAGCCTACTGTTGACTTTGGAAGCCTCACTGGTAACATAAACAGTTGATTAACACATATTTTGTATGTTATATATATTATATACTGTATTCTTAGAGTAAAGTAAGCTAGGAATAGGAAATCTTACTAAAATCAAAGAAAATCATAAAAATCATAGATTTATAATACTGTACTGTAAAAAAATCCACTTGTAGGTGGACCTACAAAATTCAGACCTGTGTTATTCAAGGGTCATCTGTACTTAAGACAGTGTGAACCTTGGGGATGAGAATATTTACCTCCTGGTTTTTTTTTTTTTTAATACCCTTTAAAAGGATCATTGTGATTATACTAAATGATATGGTGATGGTGGTGGTGGCATATTAGCTATTGCAAAAGGTCAGGAAACTTAAAACTTTGCAGTATTGGCCTGGGGAATCTGATTCATGAGGGGTTTTACATTAATTACACCATCAGTGTTACCAACCTCATCTATGTAGATGTAGTCAATAATCAGAAAATTGAAAGCAAAAAGAATTGATGTTATATATCAGTACCAAAGCCTTGCTGTGCTGAGCTTGCTAGACAAGCAGAATCTCAGACCCCATCTCAGACCTCTGAATCAGGAGTTGCATTTAACAAGATCCCAGGGTGATTTGTGTGCCCATTAATATTTGACAGACACTGCTCTTGAGGTCATAGACTTTATTCAAGAGAATGCTTTATAGTCCTTTAAAATTTGTTGATTATTGGGTCAAACAAGCTTGTTATCTGGTGTTCCAATTGAAAGGATGTTAGAATAGTAGATAGACAAAGGGAGAAAAAAGTGGAGAGTGTTGTTTAAGATCACATGTACATGAAAGCAGCAAGAAGTAATTGTCTTGATAGGGAGAGGACAAACCCTGGAAAATGCAGTATGTATAGCAAGTCAGATAGCAGTCTGGGGCATTTAGTAAGTAGAAGTTATAATAATGAACTATTATTGAATATTGGAGTTATATTTGAACTTGATCCCCAGTTTTCTTAGCTGTGGCCCTGGGCAGATTATGTAACATCTTCGTGTTTCAGTTTACTTATCGAAAAAAATGGGATAATAGTATTTATCACATAAGATAGCTGTGAAGCGGGATCAGGCATGTGCCTGCTAGTTAGTCGTTATTTAAATATTACTATATTTCCTTGATTTTAAGATTTAATTGATTAGAAGATGCATATTTGATTTTGAAACAAGTTTTATGGGAAAAGAACATTGCCTATTGACATACTATATATCAGTTGTGAGGAGCATCTTCATTAGAAATATTAATGTGTAAAAAGCTTATCTTATAATTAAAAAGTGGCATTATTAGTGTACACACTAATATGTACTGACATATGCTATATGTCTGTTGTCTGCCTATCTTAATATGAGGTACTTTTGTTTATCTTATTTGATGTTTCTAATAGCCTTTTGAAGTAGTCACTATTACTCCGTCAACTGTACTTGGAGAGTCTCATTTTAAGTAAGTTGTGAGTTGAGAGAAGTAAGGTTGTGAAGCTGGTCCTCTTTTTGAGTGTTCATTTCTCTCTGGTAGCTTTTAGAAATTAGGCTTGATTTTCAGAAATTTTGAAGTATCCATTAATTTATTTTTTAAGTAATAAATTTATCTTTGCTAGGGACCTGTCGGGCCCTTTAACCTTTGATCCCTGCCCATGGATTCTGTTTCTTTAGTTACTTCTTTTTCTCTGCCCTCTCCTAATGAATTTCTGTCAGATGGTTGGTGGTTCTTTTGATGATGATCAATTTTCATATCATTCAACATTTCTTCTACCTTTTCTCTTTGTGCTCTCATTCTGGGAGACTGCCTCAGGCCGGCCTTCCAGCTCAGTAATTGGTTAGTTAGCGTGCTTTTTGTGCTTTTCAGCCACCCTATAGAGTGGTTTTGTTTTTTATTTTATTGATACCTCTTGCTTTCAACATACCTAATTCTTTTAAAAAATCCTCTGTATTTATTTCACAACTGCCTGTCTGTTTTTGAGGTAAAATTTGTGTAACATAAAATTCATCATTTTAACCTCTTTACAGTATACACGACAGTGGCTCTTAGTATGTTTGCGGTGTTGTACAGTCACCAACACTGTCTAATTTCAGAGTCTTTCCATCACCCGCAAGGAAACTCCATTCTCATTAGCAGTCACTCTTCATTCCCCCTTGACCCTGCTCAGCCACTACTCTGATTCTGTCTCTGTGGATTTGCTTATTTTGGACATTTCATATAAATGGAATCATAAACAGTATGTGCACTCTCACCTCTGTCACTTAGAATAATGTTTCCAGGTTCCTCCATGTTGTAGTACCAGCACTTCATTTTTTCTTACGGCTGACTAACACTTCATTGTGTGGAGGTATCACATTTTGTTTATCTATTCATCAGTAATAGATATTGGGATGTTTTGCTTTTTCTGGTTATTAATAATGCTATTTGTGAACAAATTTTTTTTTTTATTAAGCACCTGTTTTAAATTCTCTTGCGTATGTAGAGATGAGTGGAGTTTTTGAGTCATACAGGAATTTAATGTTCAACTTTTTGAGGAACTACCAAACTGTTTTCCAGAGCAGTGGCACCATTTTACATTCTTAGCAGCAGTGTGTAAAGTTTCTTTATATCCTTTCTGACCCTTAAATTGTTCTTTTTTTTAAAATTTTATTTATTTGTCGGAGAAAGAGAGCGCACAAGCAGGAGGAGCAGCAGGCAGAGGGAGAGGGAGAAACAGGCTCCATTGAGCAGGGAGCCTGATGCGGGGCTCAATCCCAGGACCCTGGGATCATGACCTGAGCCGAAGACAGACACTTAACCGACTGAGCCACCCAGGCGCCCCTAATTGTTCTGTTTTTTTAATTATAGCCATCCTTGTGGGTATGAAGTGGTATCTCATTGTGCTTTTGATGTAACCTTTATATATAGAAAATCCTAAAGTTAATAGTTTGATAGCGATTGGACTAAAGTTTAGACCAACCTGGGGAGTATTGCTAATCTTTACAATATTAAATCTTCCAATCCATGAATATGGACAGAATGTCTTTCCATTTAGTTAGGTCTTCTTTAATTCCTTTCATCAGTGTTTTGTAGCTTTCTTTAAAAAAATTTTATTTTATTATGTTATGTTAGTCACCATACATCATTAGTTTTTGATGTAGTGTTCCATGATTCATTGTTTGCATATAACACCCAGTGCTCC